AAGGCTTTCTCTTCTGGGTCTCAGGATCCTAGTATGTCCATCCTTGTGCATGGTATCTGCCACAGGATGTGTGTTCCTGATAGAAGCCTGGGTATTTTTTCCTGTAGAAGTGCAGCAGTATAGTAGAAGATAGGAAAATCCATGGGCAAGTGGAATGGGGAAACTGAGGCAATAAAATTAAACAAGGCCAAACACTTTGGGTGGCTTGCAGCCAGATTGTGAATTACGAGACCTTATCTTCCCTAATCAAGTATACTAGTACTTGAGAGCAAATGACTCATGCCCTCCTCCCTAACCAGAAAATACATAGTTTAAATCACCCTGGGAAAATAAAGAACAAAGACCTAATTAATGCCATTTGCGCCAGCTAAACCCAAGGACCATATGAAGTCTGGGGGACAAATAACAAAAACAAAACAAAGACATTAAAGCCAGAGAGACCTAAGATAAAAGTAAAACAGACCAAAGAATAATCAATGTTATATTCGATAAGGGTTTAATCTCCAAAATGTATAGAGAACTCACACAACTTAACAAAAGGAAGATGAACAATCCAATAAAAAAAAAATTGGGCAAAGGACCCAAATAGACACTTTTTGAAAGTGGACAAACGGAAGGGCAAAAGACATATGAAAAAATGCTCAAAGTCACTAATCATCTGAAAGATGCAAATCAGAACAACAATGTAGTACCATCTCACACCTGTCAGGATGGCTATTATCAACAAATCAGTAAACAATAAGTGCTGGTGAGGATACAGAGAAAAATGAACCAACCCTCTTGAACTGCTGGTGGGAATGCAGACTGGTGCAGCCACTGTGGAGAACAGTATGGAGTTTCCTCAAAAAACTAAAAATGGAACTCCCATTTGACCCAGTAATCCCACTTCTAGGACTATATCCCAAGAAACTAGAAACACGAATCACCCCTATGTTCATAGCAGCACAATTCACCATAGCTAAGATTTGGAAACAGCCTAAGGATTTATCATCTAATCCAGATGAGTGAATTAGAAAACTGTGGTACATCTACACAATGGATTACTATAATACATTGCTATAAAAAAGAAAGAACTCTTACCATTCGCAACAGCATGGATGGACCTGGAGACCATTATGCTGAGTGAAATAAGCCAGTTGGAGAAAGATAAATATCATATGATCTCACCATGTGGAATATAATGAATATAAAATGATGAACAAAAATAGATCTAGAGACATAGAAGCATCGAAGAGAGCATCAAACCTCAGAGGAAAAATAGGGGGAGGTGGGTAAGAGATCAACCAAAGGACTTGTATGCATATAAGCATGCATACACATATAACCCAAGGATACAGACTCTAGGGAGGTGAGGGCATGTGCTGAAGGGGGCGGGGGGAACAGCTGGGGAGAGGTCAGTGGGGGAAAAAAGGAGACATATGTAATACTTTAAACAATAAAGAATTTTAAAAAGGAATAATCAAAACTCCTCTACACGCTCATTTAATTCATCACCATATTTAAAATGCACCTGGAAAGCTGATCAACATTCTACAGAAACCATCTCCTAAAATTCTAGCTTGCAGGAAAAAAATTTAAAAAAGATAAAAAGCCCCCAGGACAAAGACTTAAAGCGGGCTCACTCTTAAAGCAGTGGTCGGCAAACTCATTAGTCAACAGAGCCAAATATCAACAGTACGAAGATTGAAATATCTTTTGAGAGTCAAATTTTTTAAAGGTAAACTTCTTCTAACATCACTTCTGCAAAATATACTCGCCCAGGCCGTGGTATTTTGTGGAAGAGCCACACTCAAGGGGCCAAAGAGCCGCATGTGGCTTGCAAGCCGTAGTTTACTGACCATGGCTCTAGAGCATGCCCATGCCCCTTCCTGGCCATGAACGTTTTTATTTCTAAAGGCCCCCAGGAGTCTTGCTGCCAGGGAAGCAGTGGGCAGCAACAGCAGCTCCTCCCAGCCTCACCCCAGATCCTGTCTCCAAGGCCCCCTTTTCTCTGACTTCCCAGTGAGCTAGCAGCAGCCCGCCTGGGTTCACTTCTTTCCTGTAACATTTCCTATAACAAAGCAGAGCACTGCCTAGGCCAGGGGTCTGCAACCTTTAAGACATAAAGAGCCACTTGGACCCATTTCCAAAGGAAAAAAAAAACCTGGGAGCCGCAAAACCATTGCGACATTTAAAACAAATATAACACTGCATATATTGTTTCTTACCTTAACGCTATATACCGGATCATACAGTTAGCTGTCAATCTTAAGAAAAAAAAAGACTTTTTCACTTAACAATGTAAAATATATATTTGCAAATTAATAGCTAATTAAAATATTTATTTACCTGGTTAATGGGATTTTTGCTCCTGAACCCCAGTGCACAGTGTCAGAACATCAGGGCTGTAAGACATTACCTTCATTTTCACACAGGCTTGCAAGTTGTCTGAGCCGTGGTAAAGCTTCAAAAGAGCCGCATGGGGCTCTGGAGCCGCAGGTTGCCGACACCTGGCCTAGGCTCTCCCCTGTTGTGTAAGTTCTCCCCTAATTCCTTCCTTTGTTTCACTGTCCCCAGCATTGATAAACACACTCTCAAATCCATCTGGACTCCTGTTGTAAAATCTTTCCTACAGGAAGTCAAAGACCCACACACTAGAGACTGGCCTGAGGCAGACCTGCTGTGGGTCCCTGTCCTATAACGGAAGTGTCTGGACATTGGAAGTGGAGCTAGACACTCACTGCCGCACCAGGCAGGGCCACCCTCTACCCTGTGAATAGGCAGGATGGCTGGAAACCTATCTCTGACCTTTCCTGTCCCTTCATTCCATCCACTGAGCATTTATGCAGCATCTAGTAAACACTTTCAGATGCTGGAGGTAAAAGGATAAGTGAAAGAGGGTCCTTGGCCTCAAGGGGCTTCTCATCTAGTGGGGGAACTCATGTCACCTCAGAGTCCAAAAGATCCATACTCCCTCTGACCTGCTCTTTTTCCTGCCCACCCTTTCAGCAAGGTGATCCCTCCTCCTCTCCCTGCTTGGACTTTCTGTTTTTCATCTATCTCTCACCCTCTCACTTCCATGGATGCCCATTCAATTCTATTGTAAAAGGACTAAAGAGGGTTTTTAAATAAATTATTTAGCCAATTCTATTATGTCTGACATCATTTTACGATGGAGACTGATTCATGATCAGAGATAGAACATCCTGGACAGTGTGAAGAGTATTTTTTGTGCAGCCACCACTTCTAATTTTTATTTCAACATCTGTGCTCTGAGATTCTTTCATACACCAAAGATTTATGGAGCTTCTTACTCTGGGTCAGGCGCTTTTCCAGGAATTAGGAATATAGCAGCTACCAGTGCTAAAATCTCCGCCCACATAGACTTACATTCTAAAGTGGAGACAGACTGACAAAGTTCTAATGAGATGATGGCTGCTGGTATGGCAAATGCTATGCAAAGAAATGCAGCCTTGTAAGCGAGTATAGATTGCTGGCAGAAAAGAAGGTGCTCTGATAGATGAAATGATCAGGAAATCTTTTCTAAAAATAGTGGGAGAAGGAGTCAGGCAGCTAACGGGGGAGAGTCCTTGTTAGGCAGAAACAATATATAAAGTACAAAGATCCTGAGATCAGAGCTGCTTCTTATGTGTGAGACTCAGCAGGGAGGACATTGTAATTAGAACAGAACAGGAAATGAAAAGGGGCATAGAGAGTTAGGCAAGGCCTCCTGGGCCAAGAGCAAGACTTTGCTTCTTTGGGTGAGAAGGAAAAAACTTTGGAGGGTTTTGGGCAGGGGAGTAAAGAGATCTAAATTTTGTTCTAAAAGATTCCTATGCCTACTCTGTAGAGAATATATGCATTGTAGGAAGAGGAGAGTGAAAGCTAAGAGATTAATTTCATCAATCAGGTAAGAAATAAAGGCTGCAATCAGGATGGTTGGTAATAGTAGAAGTGACAAAAAAGTGATTAAACTGGAGATATATTTTAAAAGCCGAGCCAACAGTTGGCTCTAAGGGCTTGGGCACAATTCAATTGTCAGAAAACATTTCAATAATCACATTCTAAATAGAAAAAAAAAAACATTTAAAAACACAAGTCTTCATTGTGAAACAAAAATAACATCCAGTAACCAAGAGACATAATATTTAGGACATGAAATAGTCAAAATTATGAAGATGCTTGCAAATGGTTATTGGATAGTTTTGCAGAACTTTTTATACTTCACTGCTTAGAAAAATAAAAATAAGAAAGGACAGAGATACTATTTCCCAACTAAAGAAAAAAAAAAAATCCCTGTTTAAATATGTTGTTTTATCTTAAAGACAGGGTGCCTGGGGTGGGGGTGGGGGTGAGTGATCTTTCCTAACTGAAACAATATGTGACCCCCACTGTTGAGGCCAGTAGTGCTAATAGCTACTGGGTGTATGAGATTTAAACAAGCGAGAAACTGTGTTAAACATAGCACAAACGGAATCTAATGGCCACGGGCCCACCAAAGGGTACTGAATTGTGTGAGTAGGTTGGGTCGCAGAGTAGTTAATTCTTTAAACTTGGGCAGGTTGGCCTTCTCAGAGACAAAGATTTTAAGGCTTGCTAGATCCTGGCAAATGCAAGTCCCGCCAGAAGAGCTACAGCCGCCTTGCCTTTATTTGTTAGCCTAGAGAACCACAGAACTGGTCCTGGGCTCCGCCCCGCCCACGCCCCGCCTTCTCCATTACGTCACATAAGCCCCGCCCTCTCCCTGTGGCCCCGCCCCGCGCTGCGTGAGCGTCTGCCCAGGACACGTCCCTCGCCCCTCCCCCTCGCCCCGGAACCTGGGCGGCGCCTGCGTCTTGGCCTCAAAAGCGCCTTTGTGGGCGGAACTTGCGCAGCCGCCCGGACCTCTTCATCCTCCGCTTTTCTCTCCCGGCCACCGAGTCTCCGTGGACACGCACTTCCTGCGCGGCCTTGGAGCGCACCTTCTCCGAATCCATCCGAACCCGAAGCGAGCCTCGCTGTTCCGTTCCGAGCTGTTCGCCATGGTGGACGAGCTGGTGCTGCTGCTGCAGGCTCTCCTGGTGAGGCACCGCGCCCTGAGCATCGAGAACAACCAGCTGATGGAACAGCTGCGCCTGCTGGTGTGCGAACGGGCCACCCTGCTGCGCCAGGTACGTCCGCCCAGCTGCCCGGTGCCCTTCCCCCACACGTTTGATGGCGAGACCTCCCGTCTCCCCGAGTTTATCGTGCAGACGACATCTTACATGCTGGTCAACGAGAACCGATTCTGCAACGACGCCATGAAAGTGGCATTCCTGATCAGCCTGCTCACCGGGGAAGCGGAGGAGTGGGTGGTGCCCTACATCGAGATGGATAGCCCCCTCCTAAGCGATTACCGGGCCTTCCTCGAGGAGTTCAAACAGTGCTTTGGCTGGGATGAGGAAGAAGACGACGATGACGACGAAATAGGGAATTACTAGGCCCTGCGACCCTAGGGCCTACCTGAGGGGGAGGGGGTGTGAAGCCTGCAAGCCACCCCCCATTTTCCTCCGCCCCTCCCTGAGCCACCATGCTCCCCCTAGCCCTCCCTTCTCCTTCTCTACCCTTGCTCTCCGCTTCCGTCCCGCATCCCCAGTAGTGCTTGTCTTTGTTTCAAGAATTGTGCTTCAGTTTCCTGCTGCTGGGGCTGGGAGTTATCTCTGAAGCATGCTGCCACCCATTGTGGCCTGCCCCAGGATGCACCCCTGCTACTTTGGACTGTGTCCTGAGCCCAGCTATCTGGCGAATCCCTGTTACATATAAACTGGCCTATGCACAGCCCTGCATCTGCCCAGAGACCTACGTCACTACACCACGATCCACTACATTCCAGCAACAGACCACCACCGCCTTTGGAGAGAAGGAGCAGCCTAGAAGATGCCTGAGTCGGCTACCCCTCCTTGGACATTGATTTGGACATCTCACCAACCCCTGAACGGGCCAGTCTTTCAACCTGGTTAGTTCATTTCCAGAGTCCTCCCCTCCCCCCCGCCAGATTGCTGCTGGAGTCTACTATGCCTGGCAGCCAAATTGTTGACATTTCTTTTCTCCTATGCGCCAGTTCTTCATAGCTGTCATTTTCCCTTAAAAACTGCAATAGTCCCACAGATGTGTGTGCATTTGGACAAAAATGCTAAAAACAAAACAAACAAAAACAGGTACTCAGCCCTGTTTTCAATACTACCTTGCAAAAAGCACTTGTGTTGTTCTCAATAAAAATCAAGCACTACGGAAAAAAAAATCGGTGTCTTTTAATGGTTAAGAGATATCACTGGCCTCTAATCTCTACCCTGACTTGCATTATTCCCACTGAGGTCAGGGAACCTAGTTGAATCCCATTATCCCCACTTTCATCTCTAGGCTGCAGAGGACAGGTAACACAGGAATTTATAGGAATTCTGGTGTTCCCGAGGCCAAGGCATTTCTTATTGGTGAAAGGAATGGCCTCTGGGGCCTCTAGGGTGGTATGTGTAAAGGATAGCTGAGTGCGTAGCACACCATCCCAAATTGGGACACTTGAGAATGAAAGAGGGATTATTAATAATTAGACTAGGACATCAGGAATAAATCTGGATACATACAATATTTTTACCTTCCTAAGCCTTTAATTTCCTTAACACTGCTAGGGAGATTCTGCCCATTAATCATTATTGCTTGTGGGGTGCTATTGACTTTAGGCTTTAGTTAACAATGAAGAACAGTATTTTAATGCCCTTTTCAGCTGTTAGAGCTAACATTAAATTATGCATCCTGGGGTAAATGCACCCATAATAAATAGAGCCTGGTCTTAATTCATCTTCCTTAGGCTGACACACTTAGAATCCTCACCTCCACATGTGCCCCAGATATCCTGCCTGTGAAAATTGGCAAGATGGGCTGTCTCCTGAACTTGACCTTACCCTGCTGAGCTATGCTGAAGTCTTGTGGGCCTGGGGTTTGGAGACAGTGAGGGAGTCCAGTGGGTGCTAAGGAGAATCTTCATGCCTTTGAGAGGTCATTATCCCAGTTTGTTATTTAAAATTTAAGTCAGAGACCCTTGGTTGAGGGGTTGTGGGGAGTACCTCTGCCAGCCAGGAACTTTCAGGTGGCTTGCAGGCTTCACCCTGCCTCCCCTAAACCCTAGGGTCTCAGGGCCTAGTAGTTATCTAGTTCTCATTCTCACCCATATATGCCCAAGTGTCGTACCATACTTGGAGCCAACTCTACCTTAGAACCTCTAGTGAATTGAGATAATAAATTTCCTTATTGTTTGAGGCCTTTGGGGGCTGGGTTTTTGTTTGTATTGGTAAACCTCACTGTGGCTTAAATGAAATACTTGTCATCCTATTGGTCACACCCATGAGATATTTAGAACTGTCTCTGCTACATGGTGAGCACTCAGTAAACATTGGCTGCTACTTCCAGGCCTGGGAACCAAAGTTTCACTTGGAAGCAGGTCTCTTGCTATGAGCCTGGCTTTAGTTACTATGAACAGTGGCAGAGCAGGCACAGGGAGAGTGGAAATGAGTGTGTGGTCTCATTTACTCTTTGGGATCTGTCATGAAGTCACAGAGAAGCCAGTGTACTTGGTGAACAGGCAACGTCCAGGGCAGCAGTTACTTCTTGGGCTTAGAAAAATTGTTTCTAGAGGGTATGACTTAGAAAAGGAGGCTGAGGCCCCAGTTGGGTGTTCATGTGGGAAAGTGGGCAACAGCTAAAAGGTAGGTAAAGAGCCCAGCAAGACCAAAAATCACTCATTCAAAAATTACCAGTCGGTTAGGGAGAAGTGGGGGAGAAAAGAGGTCAACTGAAGGACTTGTATGCATGCATATAAGCATAAACAATGGACACAAAATAGTAGGGGGGAGGGCATGTATGGGAGTGGGGTGGGGGGCAATGGTAAGATATATATACATATAATACCTTAAAACTGAAAATTATCAGTGGTCTAAGTATATTAAAAGGAGTTAGCGGTAAATGAAAGGTGGTGGTAAATAAAAGGAGGCTAAAATCCTCATAATTTGTCTAGTTTGTTGTTTCTCTGGTGCCTAGCACTAGAACTGGGAAGATAAGTAACTACAGGCATGGTCCAGAAAGAGAATCAAACCTGTGGTTAGATCTGGGAGTGACCTTTTGGGGTGGAAGTTGAAGAGGAGTAGATGAGATTTATTCCCTACCATCAAAACAAGTGAGCACAAGCTCTATAGGGGAAGGAAGGAATCTCTGGTGAGTGAGGATACCATGCCAAGCAGCATCTGAATAGCATCCATGAGAGCTAGGCCAAGAAGCTTGTGAGATCGGAAAGCTGCTTGCTGAGAGAGAGAGAGAGAGAGAGAGAGAGAGAGAGAGAGAGAGAGAGAGAGAGAGAGAGAGAGGGAGGAGAGAGAGAGAGAGTCTGTGGTCAGGTATGGAAGAGCATATTATGCTGTGAGCTACAGAGAATGATAATGGGAGAATCTGGCTCAACCACTTAGGAAGGAATTCATGATAGTGCCTTAAGGCAAAGTACAAGACACCAGAGAAGTAAATCAGCATGTCTAAAGGTAAAAAGTACAATTTAGATGGAAACTATTAAGAGTGGTTGGAGCCAAACCGGTTTGGCTCAGTGGATAGAGCATCAGCCTGTGGATTGAAGGGTCCCTTTTTCTATTCTGGTCAAGGGCATGTACCTTGGTTGTGGGCACATCCCCAGTAGGGAGTGTGCAAGAGGCAGCTGATCGATGATTCTCTCTCATCGATGTTTCTAACTCTCTATCCCTCTCTCTTCCTCTCTGTAAAAAAATCAATAAAATGTATATTAAAAAAAAAAAAGAGTGGTTGGAAATGTTGAAATAGCAAATGCAAACTTCAAACTCCTGAATTCTCATCTTGGGCTTTAATGGTCATTGAAGTTATGCTATTAATGGAATGAAATTAATCATAATAAAGATTATAATAATTTAATCATTCAATCTACTGGTGTATCTTCGTATTTTTCTAATCATTTGAATAGGTCAGCACTGCTACCCATTCTGTATTGCTGTTTTGCAGGATGGTATATAAAGCTAGAAGTACATTATGCTCAATGTGTTTGGTTATTTTCTCCTATTACAACATAGTGAAAACTTCAGTGGTCAGAAAATAGGCAGACTAGAAGAAGACTTATTGTTAAAATTAATGGGATATTTATTTTTTAACAAATGACCTAAATTTTTTTCTAGATTCTTAAGGCAATTAAAACAAAGCTAATAAAGGGTTATTTATATGAGGTCCTGAGAATGTTTTCTTCAATGGATCATTAAAGTGGGATAATTGTGTGTGTGTTTTTTTAATATATTTTTATTGATTTTGTACAGAGAGGAAGGGAGAGAGATAGAGAGTTAAAACATCGATGAGAGAGAGTCATTGATCAGCTGCCTCTTGCACACCCCCTACTGGGAATATGCCCGCAACCAAGGTACATGCCCTTGACCGAAATCGAACCCGGGACCTTTCAGTCCCCAAGCCGACGCTCTATCCATTGAGCCAAACTGGTTTTGGCTAGAGTGGGATAATTGTATGAAGCATATTTATTATTTGCGTTGAAATGTGAATTTTGCTATAGTAGTGTTAAAAGTGTCTGGTTGTTTGCATCCTAGAGTAGTCCAAATGTATTATTCTTGTAGTCTTATGTTTATTTAGTTCTAAAGGTAGATACAGTGAACTATTACCTATTTGGTGTCCTTCCACAGTGCTGCTACCTACTTTCTTTAATGAAAATCTGATCACACACACCTCCCTTGCATTTTTATCTTCCTGTCTGAAATGCCTCTGTTAGGATTTTTCCCTTTATCTTCAAATGTTCTATTGACCAGAGACATATTTTTAAGCAATGTAATTGGCCTGAGACAGGTAATACCTTGCTTCGAGTCATAATTATGAGTAGCATAGCAAGATTTGTTAATGGAGCAGAAAGCCTCCGCTGGATAAATTGGGGGGATTGTGGTGAGACACTGCCAAGGGGGTTTTCAGAATAGCAATGTTTGTACACCTCCCTTTCTCTCCTCAGGGCCTGCTATCTGATATAATCAATGAGAATTTAATATTTCTTATTATGGTATCTACAAGATTTGCATTCTTCCGCCTCCTTCCTCCCCAAATGACAAATGATTTCATCCACAAAATTGCATTAATATTTTTCTTTTATTTTAGCCAAAGACCACAGGTGGATGGCCCACTGCCAGAGGTCAGTTTAACTAAATTTCCAGTCAATTCAGAGTAATTCAGTCAACTCAAGATTTAGAAAAAACAAAACAAAAACACAACCAAAACACTGTTACATGACTATTTATATGCCTCATTTTAAATCTTTAGTTCTAAAACAAATATTACCAGTACAAGAAAACAAAGCAAATTATATTTCATCGGTAATTGAAGTAATTGTGTTATTTTTTTACTAGAGTCTGAGGTTGGCTGGCTGAGGGGAGGGATCACGGGAGGTTGG